TTCCTGGATATCACGGTTGAAAATGGACGTGTACGGAGTTTGAGAGCTTGGTCCTTGTTGACGGTCTCGGATGCGATTGTCGATTCTAATTGCCAGATTTATTAACTCATCCAAGCTCCCGGGCTCATCTCGTAATGCCAGCTGGTCCTTTATCATTTCCGACAGAGAGTTGTGAAACGTACCCCGTAGTGCCGCCTCGTCCCAGTCCGTCTTCGCTGCGGCAACCCGGAAACGGATGGCGTGTTCGGCCACCGAGTGTTTATTCTGTCTGAGGGACAGCAAGTGGCGCGCTGCCTCCTCCTGATGGACAGGGAGATGAAACACACGTTTAAACTCCTCCAAGAATATATTGAAAGGCAGGGTGGATATGGGATGTGTCAACAAAAAAGAATTTGCCCATTCTAAAGGCGTACCTCGGAGTGAAGTAATAAGGTGAGTGATTTTAGCAGCGGAGGTGGTAAATGAACTAGGAGATCGGGCAAAAATGAGTTCACATTGGAGGATAAAACCCCCACATTGCTCTGGGTTACCTTCAAAAATGAGTGCTGGGCGAGGATCTGGTTCACGGACTTGTCTGCGAGAGGCGGTGTTTATGAGAGGATTGTCCATGGCACCAGGGTCGATGGCTGCGGCGGCTGAGGCGGGTGGAGTTAAGGTTTCCAATTTTTGAGTTATGGTTTGAAGCATGCCTCCTAGCTGTTCCATATTGGACTGGGAGGTCTTCCACAGCAATAAGAGAATAATAATTAGCAAAAATAAAAGTAAATAAGATTTAAAAAAAATTCTGACTACCAATCTTTCCGTTTGAAGTCCAAGATTAAACACCCCTGAACCTAAAAGGAGCTAAACAAGAGCACATCTTTAGTCAGGCCAAGATGATAGGATAAAACAAAGATAATGATAATGTAAAAACTAAAAGCACACTTCCGGGAATGATGTACTCCTGGCTACACAAACAAACTTAATAGCGTACTGTTTTACATTACTAAAATTTGTAGTCAGTATATTAAACTGTTGTATTGTTGTCTTGCGAATAGACAAATGATGTTTAATATAATTAAATACGTTCTGCGGTTTGGCAGCTTCATTTGAATATATAATGTGTTTCATAAAAATATAAACATTTTTTTGTGTATTAACAAATTCTTCTAAAAAATGTAATGTACGTAACAAAAAATAAAGTTCACACACTAGTAAAAAACACGTAATTTCCGATTTTGAAGAAAATTGTATTTTAAAGTGAAACGTGTTATGTGATTAGGAGTGATACATTCGGTAAATATTTATTTAATGGAATTTCACGACGAGTGGGAAGCTATTTTAAACCGAAATATTATAACCATGAGTATTTTAAAAATAAAAATAAACAATAAAATAAAACCGCATTTGTCACGAAGGCAGAGGACAATTATTTTATTTTGTAGTTCTTAAAGTGACCTGTAGATGGTAGTAAAGAGTCGCGTCAAGGAGAAGAGAAGAAGGAAAGTCACGTGGTTCTGACGGACGCGTTGGCCTGGCAACTACAGCTACTTATCTGGAGCTAAAGGTTAGAATGAGACAACAAGTCAATTTTATTTATCTGTAAATGCACTGCATCGAAGTTCTGTTGCTGTGTAATCTGATGTGTTCTCAGCTAAACTCTGCGGAGCGTTTTTAGAGTCAAGAGTCCGTAAAAAGCTAATTCGAACATGGTAGCTAAAAAATGCTAATTTGGTTTAGCTAGTTGTCACATAACCAGTTCACTTTCTGTGGTGAAGCTATGAGCAAAGCTTGAAATCGAACAGGAGTAAAATGTTTCTTGTAATTAATAATAAAAAACAAATATATGGAGCAACAAGCCTTAAATACAATAAACAATTTATTATGTTTCAATTTTTTCACTTTCTTTGCATATGTTTATGCTATCTGCTGTTACATATTAATCTCAGCATTTCTTATTTAATTGGAATATCAATGAGAAATGGCATTTGAGCTGCATTATATATATATATATATATATATATATATATATAGTATGTATGTTGTGTTTGTTTTTTAGCAACATTTGGCTAAGAAAAATGATTTGTTTTCCTTACCTTTCAGCACACACCCAGAAGACACAATGCCTGAGGTCAAGTCAATATTGAGAGAAGTTCTGCCTAAACAAGGTTTGTACCGCAGCCGTTTATTTGGACAGCAGTTGTTACAAAAGGTTGTTTGTGTAGCTCCATACAACATGTGAACTGTTGAGACATTTGCACAACCTTGCACAATTAGTCAAAGAATCTTCTGTGTTCCCTCTCTGGTACCGGTTTTCCAGCTCAGCACCACTGTGTCACAATGAAGTTTTTAATTTTCATAAATACAAGTTGAAAAATATCAAAGGAATAAATTGTTTGACAGTTACTACTTTGTTGTATTTTTGTAATATTTCCTCAAAGTTAAACTTCACTTGGGGCACTGTCTTTCATATAAAGCCTGGAAGAGTGAAAAAAAAAAAGGCTCAAATAAAGCCTTTTTTTATATTTGCATTTGAGTAAAAATTCACTGCTGAATCTTTTTTGATAACCCCCACAGGGCAGCTTTCCATGGAAGACGTCCCCACCATGGTTCTGTGTAAGCCAAAGTTGCTCCCACTCAAATCAGTCACCCTTGAGAAACTGGAGAAGATGCAGATGGAGGCTCAAGAGGCCGTCAAACAGCAGGAAATGGCAATGAAGGAGCGCGACCAGCAGATGCACGGTTGAGCGTTTGAAACGGGGAGAAAGTGACTTCAGATGTGGAGTGTTGGACTGGTCCGTCACACACCAGTGAGAAAGTACTTTTGGACCATGAGGTCCAAGGTTACCAACTTCACAAAGCCAAAACAATAACGTGGCATGAGTGAGCTGCTTCAAATTAAGCTATTGTTTTAGTTATAAGATCTACGTAGCATGTATTATTTCTTGTCAAATTTTAGTTTGATCAGCTGTCTGTGTTTATAATGATATAAAGTTCCAGCAGTACATTAATGCAGGTATAACAAATGTGTCATTTGTGACATGTACTGTTGTAATATTGACACTCAAAAGACTGAAATTTTAATAGTAATTTAATCAACAAACAAAGACTTCTGATGTATTTTACTCCCCCCTATACAAAAATTAAACTTGACACCGTTTTATATGATGGGTGCTTTTCTTTTTGGGGGATTTGTCATATTTTTCAAATGACTTTTAAAAGAAAACAAAGGGTGAAGCACAGCATAAAAAAATGACCAGCTCAGTTAAAGAACCAGTATTGCATCAAACAAACATCCTGCCTTTATTGTTCTTCATTTTCATAAAGCTCTTAACACAACTTAGTTGTATCAATACAAAGAACACACCTGAAGAACAAAAGAAGAGGCAGTAAAACCAAAAATAATAATAATAATAATAAAATACTGTACAAACACGGAATGACTGACACAGAGGTGTGGCACTTGAAGGGATAGCTTATGTAAATGTTTTTCTATAAACAATTCGGGGAACGTGATGTACTTCAGTTGAAATGAAAAGTGCAGTTTTTTAAACTCCACCTCAAATCCCAGAATTTTACTGTTAGAAGGGAGAAGGTTTTACTCAACTATAAAAAAAAGGCAAGTAAAAAGGTCATTTCGTCCTCTTCTTTTCAGGAATTCTGGCGCACGGAAAGGCGGCCTCAGAACCGTTCCAGTTTCACATTTTCAGCATCTCCCTCGCTGACAAACCTCTTCCGGCTCCTGAGAAAAAAAACATCACAAACACGATAAATAAAATGTTATCTGCATGTTAGTGTGGGTTTAAAATATTTAGCTTACTTACCGACAGGGACACTGATCTCTTAACTTCACACCAATGATCCCCTTGCTAAAGCTCTTGTCCACAAACTGCTCCAGGATGAAGTACGCACGAGGAACATCAATGCTGATTTCAGCAATGTCCATGTAAACCCTTTCGTAGCCCTAGAAAGGAGCGAGCAAAGGCACTTTAAAATGCTGATCTGTGCTGACAAATATGCTTTGTCAAATTAAACGCAGTCCTCAACACGAACAGTAGGGGGCTCTCTTACCCTTTTCATTTGGTCCACAGCGATGATGGAAGACATGGAGAGAGACTTGAGCAAATGTAGAACCATTTTGAAGGTTTTCTCCCCTTTGGACTCCAAAACCATCACGATTGCCTGAGGACATCACCGCAGATTTTTATTTATGCACAGAACTACACTTGATATCTGCTCCTTGTTAGCATTTGTGAGTTTCCTCACAAAACGTTTTTTTAATGCAATCTGAGACTAAAAGACACAGGAAGTGATTAAGTTTCTTAGGATTATAAATATAAGGTTTCCTTCATAGCAGATGGATTGTTTGAGTGTCTTGAAAACATTTCTTGTGTTTCTCTTGAGCACATTTTTCTGTTTCTTAGCAAAATACACATTTTTGTATTTCTCTTGGTCCAGTTTCACATGAAGCTAAATGTTTACCTCATAGACAAACTCGTGGTGAAAATGGGGAACCTCCAGCTCTCGAAGGCATCTCTCAGCTTCCTTGCCGTCTCCAGACAAAATGTATTCCTTCAGCAGCAGGTTCATCTGAAAAGAGAATTAGAAGTATTACCCTTCGTTGTCGTACTTAAATCTTTTATTACAAGTTTTTTTTAAACCTGTCAAGAACTAAGAAAAACAGTGCTTGAAAATCACACTGTGTCAAAAACAACCCGCTGTTCTCAACACTAGAAGACTGAAACACTGACAGAGTAAAAGTTTTCTCAAATAGACCAAAACATTTCAAGTCATCACCTACAATGTTTGCTTCACTACCAAACTCAGACAGAATGTGTAACGTACCTGTTTGATGAGTTGTGTAACAGGTCTCTGGCCTCCACCTGTCCCCCAGTGGTTGTCTATGCGAAGCCCACCCATACTCATCTTCAGCAGCACAGCAGCCCGGTCCAGCGCCGCCCTGACGATTAAAAACACATTTGTGACCCGTCGCGTCGAAACGAGGATTAAGTCCAAAAGTGGTTTAAGGAGAAAAAGGCAAATATAGTGTTTTGACTAAAATATTAACAAAAATTGCATTTTGTCAAAATATAATGAATAAAAGCCTTATCAATGCATCATTTTAATGAACTGCCTGAAATATAATCATAAAACTCAATTTTGAAGCACTTTTTTGAGGAGTAGCAACAAAAAAACAGATTTTGAGGAAAAACGCCTTAAATTTTTAAGATTTTCCATGTGAGCTGGCAAAGTTTTGTTTCTTTTCAGCTGGAAAATCTCAATATTCAAATATAATTTGAGGTTTCCTCTTTTCCTCTTTATCAAAAATTCCTCATTAAAATGACATAAAATTAGGATTCAGACCAAATATTTATGTATTATTGTAACCAACAAGACAAATTAAGTCATATATGGATTTAATTATATCAGAATGATACAGGTGTCAAAACGTAGCTTTTAAGCCAAGAATCTGGAAATGCAATGAGGTCATTTTGACCAAATTTGACTTAATCCTCATTTCGATATGATGGCTCACATTTATACTGTGATGGAGAACCCATTATGGTTTTATTTAGGTTCATAAAGACTCAATTTTTCAGTCAGTTTTGTTCTTATTACTATATTCTTGTTACTAAAAGACAAACTAGAAATTAAAACAATTTGGAAATGATCACCAACTGCATTGATTTGTGAGCTACATTGCAAAGCTTTGCATTTAAACTCACTTTTTGGATTGGCCATGTTTGACTATGAAACAGATGTAAGGGACACATAGAACCTGACTGGAAGAAAACAGTCTTAAAAACCTGATATCTATGAAATGAGTATAAAAACTAGCAAAAACATAAAAATTATGAAGTGTCGGTTTAAATTATTGATATCTTAAAGGGATCGCTGATTAGTTGTAACATTAGACTTTATTTGATAAACATATATTTTAACTGTAAAATAAAGACTGTAAAATACTGTAGGATGTTTAGTTTTGTAAATTTTAAAAAATATATTTTAACACGGATGGGGCCATTTTATTTACACACAAGTATTCTGGGTAAATGATGACATGGACAGGCCCTCTGTGTGAGTGAGCTATATCCACCCTGAAGGTTAATCTTGGACAATATCTGATGATCGACTCTTTTAAATGAAACCAGAGAGCGTTGACAGAGAGGAGAAGGTAGAAATGACTCAGCCTGGAACTGAAAATATGGATGGAGGACAACAGAGCTGCTTCATGGAAGAAGAACCTCAGCTTAGCCTGTTAGCCTGCGCGCTAGCACCGACACTATATTGCCTTATATGTATTAGCTCGGTGCTAGTGCGACAAACAAGCTAAACTGAGGTCCTCCATCCATATTTTCAGTTTCAGGCTGAGTCATTTTTGTGTTCCCCTCTCTGTCATGTGGATGGAGGACCTCAGTGATGAGAGGAGAATGTGTAGCGTTGAGCTAAAACATATATTGATAGCGTCGGGGCTAATGCTAAAGCTAACAGGCTAAGCTGAGGTTCTTCTTCCATGAAGCAGCTCTGTTGTCCTCCATCCATATTTTCAGTTACAGGCTGAGTCTTTTCTAACTTCTCCTCTCTGTCAACGCTCTCTGGTTTCATTTAAAAGAGTCGATCATCAGATATTGTCCAAAATTAACCTTCAGGGTGGATATAGCTCGCTAGCAGCCTCGCACCGAGGACCTATCTATGTCGTCATTTACCTAGAATGCCCCATCCATATTGTTAAACTTTTAGTTTAAAAATGATAAAAACTGAACATCCTACAGTATTTTTAGTCTTTATTTTACAGTTAAAATATATGTTTATTAAATAAAGTCTAATGTTATAACTAATCATGGATCCCTTTAATATGTAAAAACAAAAACAAACAAATAAAACAGGCTTATGAAGCTCATCACAACCGAGTTGATCTAAAGACTGTTTCTGTGTGGACAAGACCCAAGTTGTTCACAACAGAGATCAAACTGGACATCACTTTGTAAGGACACTCAGAGAACCTGGGGCTGTTCCCTCTGTCACAGACGTTACAGTAGATTCAGATGTGACTTTTTTAACTCCAGTCTGAGAACACTGTCTGATGCAGGAGCCTATATCTGCTTGTAGCTTGTTAACATTTTAACTGATTTAATGTCAGCAAGGAATGCTTTATATTAATAAGATTTTTTTTTTTTACAGTTTTTATAAGTTGTTGACACATTCTTATTGCTGTAATATACGTCTTGGATGCTTGAATGGCATGTTTGTGAGAAATAATGACTGATTCAGTTGCACACCCCTCTCAGGTTAACACAACAGTACTGTCTTATGTCTGACAAGCTAACAGCAAAATCGAAATCAAAAGTGAGTCATCTAAAGCCACATACCTTGCATATTCACAATCAACTTTGCCTTTGTAGCCATCGATGTAGCTCTTAGTCAGTACCTGGTCGCTGACAGCGCGTGCAATGAACTGGCCAACCAGCTGAAAGAAAAACAGCTCAGAGTTAAAAATACACACAGTTCTGAACAATTCTGTTGTACTTTGTAAGAAAACTAACTCATCAAGTTTCTCCCTCAAGTTAGTTAGTAAACTATCTTTAAAATGAACTACAACTCGTATTACAATAAAAACCCATCAAAAATTAATGACTGTGAAATTGTTATTATTATTATTATTATTATTATTATTTTTTTTTTTTTTTTTTTTGAGCAAAGACCTCCACAAAACAAATTGGCACTGAGGACTGACTGTAGCCTCAGAGGCATGTGTGTATTTGTTTACAGTAGTGTGGCCACATGATTTCTGGGACACAAAAGAGACACATTGTTCCTGTACACACAAACGGCAGCTACATCACAGCTAACTGATCGCAGTGGCCAGACTGGCAGGCATACGAGGAGAAAGGAAATAAGAGCGTGTGAAAATGAGAAAGACTTAGTGAAAGTGCAGATGGTGGAGGAATGAGGGGGAAGGGCAGACTCACAATGCCCCTTAAACCCACAGACTGGGGCCCAAATGACCGGTCAGAACAAACCAGGCAGTGTCAGGAGTGGGGGGCAACAAATAGCCCTCTGAGCATCCTTTGCTGAGCTTGCATTTTACGAGCACAGGCAGACAATAGCTAGAGCTTTCATGCCTGTGTAGACTGAAAAGGAAAGAGCCATAGACACACACAGCACACTCGCGTTCTCTCACAAACCAACACATGAAACCACAACGTAATTCCCCTCTGCTAAACCACAGGCCGATTTAAAATTCCTAAAACTGAAATGAAACTTACTGTAAAAAATGTTTTGTTTTCATCATGAGGCAGACAGAGGAGCACAAGTTTTAAATTAATGTATTTGTAATAATAATAATAATAATAATAATA